TTGGAACAGGAAAGTATACATCATCTTATGAACTTAAGCAGAAACCATGAATTTGTATATTTTGCACCATGCAGCCTCGTATCATTGATGCTTTTATTAGATTTTTGTAGTATTTTTCTTGCCTTTAAACATGTGGCCTCTCGCTCTGTTAGCTGGCTGGTGCTTTAGCAGAAGAGGGCTGCTCATTGGATCAGATTGTTTCCAAGGTGACGGAGATTTTAAAGGGGATCGGTGAGTCGCGCTTTCTTTAGTTTTTTTTTTTTAATACATTTAATACTTTCTGGGAACACTGGAATACTTTTCTTAAAGATATTTCTGTTTTACTCCAGGCACTCTGGGGGTGAGTCTGTCTCCATGCAGCGTTCCCGGCTGCCTGCCTTCCTTCGATCTACCGCCAGGAGACATGGAGGTCGGGCTGGGTGAGGGATGATTAGAGGAGGATGGAAAAGGTGGAGTTGTGAGAGCAGGAGAAAGAGAGTGGCAGAATATGGAGAGCAGCCTTTTGGGCTGACACCAGTTATCTAGACTTTTATTTCCAGAACTAAACTTCCACCCGAGCTAATGAATACTTTTTACATTTTTTTTTGTGACAAATGATTTAAAACCAGATCACTGTTAGAATGGCCAATCTCCATCTTTGACTTTCGCTGCAGATGTGAGATCATGTTAGTGATATTTTAGAGAAAATGACTGAATTGCACCATCTAGTGGTGTGCAAGAGCAGTTAAGAGCAGCAAAATAGTATAAGTGAAGCATAAAATACTGTTTCCAAAGAATTAATTCAGTCAAATGGCGAGATGGGAATGTCAGAATTTCAGCATGTTAAATGGGTTGGGTGTCTTTAATCTGAGTGGAGTTTTCTATTCAATTCATAAAACTGGAGGAAATTCACTTGTAAAAGCTGAGAAAATGATGGAAACTCTTATCGAACCATTCTAAAGATGGTTCGATAAGAGTTTCACAGATGGAGAGAGCACAGGAGACGAAAATGAAATAACGGCCAGTGTTTTCTTTCTATTTTCAGGTATCCACGGGGAACCTGGAGTAAAGAGGTCAAAGGTGAGTCGGATTTGAACTTTAACAGCCTGAATGTGCTTTTAACATCAGGCTGTATGGCTCAGTTTCTGTTGATCTTCTCCCTCAGGTGGCCTCTGCTGATGAGGTGGTCAAGACCATGATAGACCACATGACCAACCCAAGCAGCCAATCGCATCTGCCGCTGAAATCAGGTTCACTAAATGACATCGATCATGTATCATGCTGACCGTTAGTACGGCTGCTCTCCATGTGTGTGTTTTTTCCCTCTTTCCTACAGGAGACAGTGTGGTTGTGTGCGTGAACAACCTTGGAGCTCTGTCTTGCCTAGAGATGGCTGTGGTGACTAGATCGGCCATCATCTGCCTGGGTAAGTGTGTGTCTGTATGTGTGTGAGGTAAGCATTTAACCATACTTAGGTGGGTCCTACTGTGCTTCTCTCACATGATCACCATTTTAACTTCTGAAAACATTTAAACCTTGATGTTTAATATACAGGAAAATAAACACCTGCATCTCACTACACCCTGTGAGCTAAAATATCATCCATGTAAAACATAACCTTCTCTTTTATTTTTCATAGTTCATGAATGGCAGTTTTTGTGAGTAGCTAGACTAACTAAAAGAAACCACAGTGGAACGTTAATGAATGCTATTGAATAACATTTTTTATTAGCACTTAGCATGAGCTAAGATGTGATTTGATTGGCTGGTTTTGGTGGGTGGAGGAACAGCACGATCATTCGATAATCTGGAATATGATTGGTGTTTTTTATAGAAAGCCGTGGAGTGGTGGTTGCCAGGATGATGTCTGGGTTGTTCATGACCTCTCTGGAGATGGCAGGAGTGTCGCTGACCCTGATGAGGGCTGACAAGGAAACACTGAGGCTGATAGGTAAGTGTTCAAACACATAGCTTTGTTTTTCTAAACTTGTGAGGGCCTTTGTCATAACATCACAGTGTATTCAGAGCTTCAGAACTTCAAACTTCAGAAGCTTCAAAGTGAATGCTTACATGATCGACATGGCAGCAGCAACCAGTCAGTCAGCTCTTTGGCATGAACAGCAAGAGGCAAACAACTAATCCAGTGGTCTAAAGAGCTTGGAAAGAAAAGCATCTGGACTTCTTGGAGTTTCCTTGAAGAAGTTTCACTTCTCATCCGAGAGGCTTCTTTGGTTCTAAGAGCACCTGGTGGAGAGTCATAGATTTTAAGCCCTATGGGAGTGTCCCCCGAAGAGGGTCATGGACCCCCTATTGATCCTCTACCTAATCACATGAAGCAAGATTTGAAAACAAGTCTGACCCAGAGGTGAGAGTGTGAGAGTGTTCAAGTCTGAAAGTCATATGTCTGAACAATCCCTTATGGAGTGGAGGAGACTAGCAGCAAGTAGAGCGCAGAGACCATGAAATCTCTGTGAAATTCACCAACATGTACCTACTTTCTGCATCTTTGAAGCGAGGAACTACTACTGGGCAGGAAAGATAACCGAGTGATGTATGACACAAGTTGGGATGGTCTCTTGGAGGTGTTTTTAAAAAAACTTCAGATTCAAAGATCATTAGCTGAAGTTATTAGGCTGTGTCACCACTTTGCCAAAGTCTGGAGGAAGACCCACTGTCACTGATTTGGATGTTCAGGAACAACCCAGAAATCATCAAAGCGAGTTATAAACTGGAACCTGCTGGAACACCAGCGTGTTTGTCCACAGTGAGTTTTACATCTTCATGGATTGAGAGAGTACAGCCCAAGAAGGAAGATACTGTGCCAAAATTTACATCTTCAAGCTTGACTGAAATTTAAAACTACCCAAATGGACAAGCCAAATGCCTTCTGAAGAAATGCTTTATGATTAGAAGAGGCAAAGATTGAGCTATTTGGCCACAGAGAGATGTTTGGAGGAGTAAAGGTGAGGCTTTCAAAGCTTAAAACACTGTATGACACTATGACATCTCTGAGGGTGTTTTGCTACTGGTGGTACTGGTACATTGGATAAAGTGGATGGAATAATGAAGAAGGAGTACCTCTAAGTTCTTTAACTTCCCTTCAAATTGACAGCTAGGTGGTTGAAACTTGGACACAGTTGGTTTAAAAATTGGTTTAAATGGATAAAGCAGGCTAAAAGTAAGCTTTTGGAGCGAGCTTCCCAAAGCCCCAACCTCAGCCCTGTTGAAAATTTGTGGACTATGCTTGAAAGCTGCGGCCATGTCAGGAAACCAACCAATTTAAATGAACTCCACCAATTCTACCAAGAAGAATGATCAAATATCATGCCAGAATTATGCCAGAAGCTTGTTGATGGCTACCCTGAGTGTGAAAACCCAAAATACCCAAACCCAACCCAAAAATCACGATGTCATAAGTCACTGGACACTGTGAACATCCACGGTCACCACTTCATGCATAATGGACCTTCCATGTGTATGGACATGTGCAGGTATATATGTATGTATATGTATACATATGTATATTTAGTGTGTACATGTGTGTGTGTGTACATGTCTATACATAGGAATAGTAGTGGTACAATAGTTATGTCAAGCTATATAGTTTGTCTTCCATATTTCCAACCATATCCATAATCACATACTGTGTATGCTACCATTGTATATAGTGTATTATCTTACTTTTTTTTCATTGATTGTACTTATTTGTATTTTTGTATTTCCTTCTGATATCTATACCTGAGCTGAGGTGACGCAAAAATTTCCCCATTGTGGGATCAATAAAGTCTTATCTTATCTCTCTCTTAAATAAATTCAGACTTTTGCACCCAGTTCTTGATTTCTCATTAGATTTAAATTAAGTTATTAGATTTATGCTGTACAATTATTCTACCCTGGAAAAGGACTGGTTCAAAGTAATCATTAAATCCAAACTTAGCAGGACTTTCATCCCCAAGATGAGTGAATATTAACTTCTGATAGAACCACACAAATAAGCACTCTCATATGGGTTCAGAGACACAGATTTATATGATAAATAAATTTGTTACTAATGAAAAACGCACACCTCCTTTGTCCCATCAAGATGCTAAGACTACTGCCCCTGCCTGGCCAAACCTCAGCAATGTGTGTTTGAGTGGACGCAGCTACATCACAGAACCACAAACAACCATCAAACGGCCACAAGATGAGAAGCACTCTGAAGGTTAGTTCATGAGCTTTTTGTGTATGTGTATTGCAATCGATTATTGTAATGCATTACTTATTCAAGGCTTATAATTGAACATGTTTAAAACTTGTTTACCTGCATGAAATAGAAACAGGATGAACAAAAGGAAACCAACAAATTGTGACAGACAAACACATCTGTGCATGTAGTGCTAGAAAATCCTTAGTATTGTAATAACGGAAATAGATGAGTTCAATTTTAGTCCTTTTACTATTTAATAAGGGCATCTAGTGGCCATTAGTAGAATGTCAGCTAAAATGATGATGTCTTTTCCCTCTTTTAATAGAGGGCTTTATATGTTGTAGAGGTGCTGTCAGAGAGGGCATATTGGACATTCCAGTTGGGACACATAACATCCATTAACTTTTACTCTCTAGCCCAGTATATAATTTCTGATCTATATATTAATAAAAATAGTTTTGGCTTTTTTAAATGGAAGTTTGTTTTGTTATTCTTGTCAGGACCACTTAGTCCTGTGATGCATAAAGCCTTGGAGAAGATTTGCTCCGCTCTGTTGGAAAAGCAGGAGGAACTCAATTCCCTTGATCGTGCTTCCGGGGATGGAGACTGTGGTAATACTCATGCTCAGGCTGCTAGAGGTAAGAAACTGTGATTACTATCTTCAGTAGCTTAAAGAGGAACTTGTAAAAATAGTGAAGATGCTTGTTCAGCCATTCAGGAGTGGCTTCAAGGACATGTGGTCCCCGGTTGCCCCAGGCAGCTGTTATCGGTCGTTGCTGGATTGGTGCAGGAAAAAATGGGCGGGTCTTCAGGAGCGGTGGGTTTATTGATTTAAGTGGTGTTTGATTGCAGTATTCTGTCTTAATCAGCACAAGCACATGTAATGCTCAGTTTATTTCAGTTGTACAGTCTGTTCCTCACTGCGGCAGCCAGTCATGTGACCGAGGGGCAGAGCAATGCTGCAGCCTGGGCCACTGCTATGAATGCTGGGACAGAAGCAATGAAAAAGTAAGGGTTGGTAACATTTTCATGTCTGTATTTATTTCAAAGTCCACTTTTCTTTTAGTCTTCTTCATATGGCCATTTAACTGCTGTTCCAGAGTTTTTGATCTTATGATCAGCACTGTTGGTGTGCTGCTCTCCAGTTGGTTTAAAAGAAACTTAGTTTATTCATTATTACAGTCGCATCATCAGCAAATGCTATACTTGCCTTCCAGTCTGAAAGCTCTGGAATATCCCTACATTTAACTTTTGAATTAATGCTCACAGGTCCCATATTATTTGCCAACCTGGCAGGTGTGTGGTAGCCTATGTCACCATTTTCAGTGTCATGCTCCTCCAAAAGTCCAACACTGAGTTGACTTCATCAGGTCTTTCGCCCGATGAAGCTTTAAGTTACAACATTCAGAACATAGTTAATATTAGCAGGGAATTTCACTACATCTCCTGGTTTATAACACAATGCAAAAATACCAAGTTCAGTTCTGGATTCATGTAAGTCACTTTATCTTGTATCCTCTGCAAAAATCCAGTATTCTTCCCTGTCAGATTTGGACAGCCATTGTCTACAACAACTGCAAGTTTCTTCCTTTTCAGACCCAGCTTATCCCAGCATACAGTTAGGTCCTTGAACAAATGACTAGCTGTCATAGTCCATTTTTGCATTGCTGCTAGCTCCTGTTATCTCAAAAGTACAAAGATGAATAAGTGGGCTGTTAATGTATGTCACAACTCAAGGAGAATAAAAGTCAAGGAAGAGAAAAGTGCAAATTGTCTGCATTGTTTTTCAACCGAACCTCCAGATTTCTGTGCAATGGCCAGGTCGGACTTAAATGTTGACTTTCTTGCAGATATGGTGGTGCCGCCCCTGGAGACAGAACAATGGTAAGATTTTTGTCCCCCAAATCTCATTTAATCTGAATTACCTAATTTATGAAAAGTGTCTTTAACAGTGAACTTTCTTTGTTTCTCTTACCTTGTAGCTGGATGCTTTGTGCCCTGCAGTTGATGAACTGATTAAGCTGGCCACAGCTCCATCTGGTGGAGACATGGCTGTACTGCAAAGTGCTGTGAAGGTATGGTGCCACCTGGTGTTGATGTGGTTGCACTGCTCACTCAGCAGATTTTTCTACATAATGTTCCTTTTGCTTCGGTCTCCACAGAAAGCTGCTTCAGGAGCGGAGGCAACTCGTGACCTTAAAGCAAGGGCTGGGAGAGCCAGCTACATCTCACCCAACCTGGTTAGCCTGCCAGACCCTGGTGCTGTAGCTGTGGCAACCATCTTGAAAGCTATTCTGGAGGTGCTAGAGGGGCGAAAGTGATGCAGCCACCAGGATAAGAGTAGAGGGCTAATGCTACCTAAACAAAACTGTGATGCAAGAGTGATTATCATTTAAAATATTTTGATTTTGTGATGCATATTTTACATTTTTGGAAGCGATTTTTCACACTATACACAAAGTAAGTCATTACAAGCTGTTAAACTGAGTTTACGAAACAAAAGGATGTAAAAATTATGGCAGCAGTGCAAAGATGTATAGCAAAAATCAAGAAAAATAACTTGGGTATTGTCTCTAAAACATATTCCATTGAAAACCAAATCATATGAACAGCAGGAGACTTTTGTAGCAGAAGGGAATATTCATAGTTTCTACTAATAAAGGAAAAATCTATTAATAGATTGGTGTTAGTGATTTTGGTATTTGTTATTAAAAAAGCAAGATCCATTTATCCATTTTTCTAGTACTGATCTGGGATCATAGGGATTACTGGCATTCCAGATAAGCCCTACTCTTGAGTCCATCTCTTGAAAGGCCAAACTCTTCACTCTGTCTCTAAGGGAGAGCCCAGCTTTTTTCACTTTGTGATCAGATGCTCCATCACCGTTTCTTCCTGCTGCAGCGATGATCTTGACTTTATGAAGGGTTTGTGTGATTGATATCAGTATGATTCAGATAATTAGTGAAGATAAATGTTTGGGAAATTCTTTTGTTGCATTTCCTGCTATGTGATGTGCAGTAAAGATAATCCTAAAGGCTGCAATACAGCAGCTTTTAAAGTGAGGCCACAACTCGTGCACACTAAGATGATCGCTTTCATGCAGCACATAATCTGTTGCCAGGTCTGTAGACCTTTTTTTTATTGTTCAGATACATGTTTGTTCTTCACACAACACAACTTTTATAGCAGCAGCATTCATAGTTCATTGGTGGGTTTAACACCCCCTATGGTTAAAGGTTTAAAAGGTTCAGGATGTGATGATATGAAAGGAAAATATTATTAACATGAAGATGATCTGCATTCATCTGTGCATGCATTCATGCAAACATCCATCATCCATGCATGCATGCAATCATCTACCCATACAATATCCATCCATGCATCTCCATAGTAATCCATGTATCCAACCATGTATGCATCATCCATCCATCTACACATCTATCCATGATTCATGCATGCATCATCTGTCTACCTATCTATCCATGCATCCATCAAAGTATCCATCTACCCTTTGATTTCTGTCAGTCTGTTCGTCTGTCCGTACGGTGTTATCTTCATATTCAACTCTGGGTCCTGAAGGAAGTTGGACCAGCTGCTTCTTTTATATATTTTTAATTTTAAATATGAAGGTCTTTTATCTTTCTTGTTCCACTGTGTGGCATAATACAGATTAAATGTAGTTTAGATTCCAGTGCAGTAGGACAGTCCTGATATAATAAAGTAACTGAGACATATTATGTGTACATATAGATATAATGTGTGCTTTAACAGCACACACCCACTCCCTGTCCTCTTGCACACAGTGAAAATGAGTGGACATGGTTCAACAACCGTCTCGTGACTCTCAGTCTGTAAAGATTTTTCTCTTTGATGATTAAAACGTGCAGATAAAGTCTTTTTCTTGTCTTCCTTGCTTCCTTTAAAACTTCGTTTCACACTGTGTCAAAGAAAAAAACAAAACAAAACAAAAAAAAAACCCCAGCTCTGCACCGACTTCCTGACACACATGCACAAAGTGTTGCTGTTTAGACTTTGAACACGCCCACACTCTCACACACATTAGAAACATGCTTCATGAAACGCTTTCAGTTTGAGCGACACCGCTGCACTCAGACCGCTGCAAAGGTATTTCTTTTCTTATTGTATTGTGTGTGTGTGTATCCACGATAAAACTATTGGTACAGCTTTTATTTTCAGGCGTGAGTCGTGTATTTTTAACTTAGCTAACTTTTGATTAAATGTTTTGGACTCAAGTTTCCAAACGTGATATTCACCTGCTTTATCCACTTTTCAAAATTGAATCTATGTACAAGTATGTATAAAGAATTCATTTACTAACAGATGCAACAGATGAGATTAATTTGTCGTTTAGGAAAACAGACACCCACTGGATGCTTTATTAGCTGCACCAGTCCATTTACTAAATGGACTGGTTCTTATATAGCACTGTTCTACTCTACCCGAGCACCCAAAGTGCTTTATATAACGTGCCTCATTCACCCTCACCCCACATTTTTAAAAGTGCTTTCTATCAAATACTTTCATAAATTGATGGTGAGCAACATAGTATCTTGCCCAAGTATATTGGGCATGCACACTGGAGCAACCAGGGACTGAACCACAAACCTTCCTATTAGTAGATGACCTGCTCTGGCTCCTGAGGAACAACCATCCCACTGAGTTGGGCACACTCTTGTCCTTTAGAACAATTTTAATTGTTCATGGCACAGATTCATGAAGATGCTGGAATCTTCATGAATCTATGATGTGAATCTCCTGTTCCACTACATCTCAAAGGTGCTCTATTGTTCTCACATATGGTGACTTTGGAGGCCTCTTGGGTACAATGAACTCGCTGTAATCTTCAAGAAACCAGTTTAAGATTATCCTGATCTTTGTGACATGGTGTATTATTCTGCACCTTGCACCTTTAGGCAAGTGTAGTTGTGATTTGGTGTTATATAAATAAAATAAAATTGACTTGAAAAATCGAATTGTCCTGGACACAGGCATCAGAAGAGGGGTGCAG